CACTAAGCCTATCTAAGTAGAACTCCGACTTCTTGGCTTTAAAATGAGCTAGCCCGATTAGGAATAACTCTTATATTCGTCGAGTTATACTTGTTTAAAAACTAGAACTTTTAGTAACATATTTTTTTCATGTCACCCCTCTGTATGCAAAATTGATCTTTTTCAACATGGGAAAATTTACCACGTGGCTAATGCCTCTCGCAGCTCCTGTGTAGGCCTAACTTTTACTATAGCATTCTAAGAGTAAGTAGACATTCAAACTTTGCTACATGACTAGGCGCTTTCCTGAAACAGCGATTCCGAATATCTTGGCACTGCTAATGAGGATAGAGATTCTCCGAGCCAATTAGATCCAGGTTTCTCTGTGCACAAACCCTCTGGAACCCAATTGTGATATCCACCTGTACAGCTGTGATAAGCATTAGACGAAGTTTATTTTAGTGCCCAAACTCTATTTAGCCCTATCGCTGTTTTGTGGCTCCAAAACGTATGTTTGTTTTTTTGTGAATATGACCCTGTGCCTGTCCCCGCTTTCCCACACGGAGCCCGTGACATTACTATACCAGGTTTAGCAGTCATAAAACGGATTTTTAACGAGTGAGCTCTTATTCCGAGCTCACTGCAAAATCCACCTGTTACACCTAGTTGAGACCCATTTGTGTTCCTCCGGGGGTAACAGATTGTAGTATGTTTCACCTACAATAAGATTAACGGTAGGGGTGGGCGCAGCCATTTGGCCCAGTCACACAGCTTCTCAAGTCCAACGAGTCGATGTTGCCATTTCTGACGATCCTGTCGATTGCGTCAGTTCTTAAGCTTAGCTTCGGTGAATTACTTGCATTTCCTAAGCGAACGCCTTATGCCACGCAGTCGGATCAAGCAAAGACAGCGATGTAACCCCGCTGGTGGGCTCTTCCTAGTTCTCACCGCCTACACAACCGCTGTATCTATATCACCAGTATGTAAGCTGTTTCTTATTGTTTCTTCATACTTCTGGAATATTTAAGAACTTCAAAAAGTACTCTCGGTACTGAAAAGCATAGTAAAGTTCATTTCTTTTTGGCAAACTTTCTTTTTTCCATCGACGCAATGCACACAGACAAGACCGGTCGCAGCAGGATGAATTCGAAAGCATGTGACCAATGCTATAGGTGTAAAGTCAAGTGCACAATGGAGCTCAGCGGCTGTGGGCGCTGCCGACTAACGGGTGGTGTATGCACGTACAGCCTGGGAAAATGGATGGGCCGGCCGAAGAAGTCGAGCCAGCAAAACTCCAATGCCCAAGCAAGAAGAATGAGAGATTCTGAAAGTGCCTCTCTAGAGCACAGTAGGAAATTTTCCGGCAAGTCTTTTCCACTATCACACCAGATATACATATTGGCCTAACTCTATCAGATCACATCATACACGTGCCAGATACACGACAAGGATGGGAGCTGCTTTCATCCTCTATGGACGACTCTGAAATGAACACTTTTAATCATGAGACAATGTCGCTATTCTCTATGGGTGACAATATCGAAAACAAAGCTGAAGACTGCTACAATAGCCCCGAGGAATGCTTGAGTATCAACACTTCAGAGAAGAAGACAAGCGCCAGTTCCATCTCTCCCGCTTGGGCTCAAGCAAGAGAGACACCAACAAGAGGCATGGAAACCGGTAGCACCCAATCGGTATGTTTTGGTTCCGTATTTAAGATAAAAAAAAATAAAAGTTCAGACCTAATCAGCGCTGTAGCCACGGGAGAGCCAAAAAGGCACCTACCGTAAACATCAAGACAGCACACACTCATGTTTGCCAACTCCACAGAGCCCAGTCTATCCTCGCAAATTCGACTTTGAAATGATGGGTACTGATTTCATAGCTTCGCCACCAGTATCCATGGTAGGCAACATCGAAACGTAAGCTATATGAACCCTTCCTCATCTCTCTAGAAGACCGTACACTCAAACACATCGCAGAAACTCCACAAGATATGCGGAAGACATGGATTGTAGACAAACGCATGCCGTAATGCAAGAAGTATCTACCTCGCCTAACGAGCAAGCGTGCCACTGCAAGTGCTCTCAAGTTGCGCTAGCCTGCCTAGACAAAATCTCTGTCGTGCCGTCTGAAGCCCGGTACATCGACCGCCTCAACATCATCCAGTCTGCCCTCATGACCGCAGAGCGGCTAGTCCTCTGCACAGACTGTCCGCCTAACATGACCATCGCAAGATGTTGCTTTATCCTGGGAAACACTCATGAGCTGGTGAGTGATGCGAACTCCCACTCTGGAGACGCATCCAGCCCTACTGCCACCATTTTTTCGCGCCAATCAATAGAATTCACGCGGCGCATCAAGCGCCGCGCTAGCATGCTTTTTGCGGGGTTGAAAACGTTGCAAGATCTAGGGTCCGGGGATCGGCGTCTTTCAAATATGCAGTCTGAGTTCTTATCAGTGCTTGCGAATTCTTGGCTTGCTCTACCAGATTATCGAGATTAAAACAATATCAGAACGTTGAAAAATCCGAAGTCATGCGGATGCAAACAAAAATATTACCAACAATTGTATTATCATACGCATTTTTCTCATACATTGGGTTTAGGCTGCCGAATAAGGATGGTCGTTGTGTATGGCTTTGACCATCCATATTGCGGGCGCTCCTGCTGCACTAATTTAACTACTTGGAAGCCGTTGTCTTGGTAAAGCTTGACGCCTGGCGTTTTGGCAACAACAATCGTCTTGAGACCGTTTCTGTCCGCATATGCCAGACCTTCAGCAAGTAACATGGAGCCAATGCCACGTCTCTGGTGTTCCGGATGTGTAGCCAGATAATCCAATGCTTCGAGACAATCAGTACAAGTAAAATGCAAAATATAATGTTGGAGAGCTTACCGAGAAACTCTTTTTCAGTAGACAGCACTTCGGCTTCTGCTTTCTCTATTGCCTCACTAAGCTCGTCCACCATATGATGATCAATGCCACGGATTTTTCCGTCTTCAGTCACGTCCTGGAACGCCTGCTCGTATGCTTGACGTTTTTCCAAATCATCCTCAAGCACTATACCACTAGCCCATGTGTCAACGTGTGCATCGGGGATAATCCAACGCGCATAACCGACAGTATTCCCAGTAGCTCCGTCTACAACCTTGCGGTGGCGCTTAGTGGATGTCACTTTAACAAGGTTCCAGGGCAAGCGCCTTGCACAGTCGTAGATGATATTATCCAAAGTCACGCCCTTCCACAAAGACGCCCAATGTGGATCTTGGTAAAAAGCGCGCATCATGGTGTCAGCCAGACCTGCTGAGTCAGTGGGCTTCACCGGATGGATCATGTACATCTGGAACAAAAGATCAGCAAAACAGCAACAGCGGGGACTAAAATCCGCAACCTGCCATTTTTGTAAAGGTGGGTAGATTATGTCAGCTGATGAGTAGAACTTTGCCGAGAGGAATAGTTGGGTAGCCGTCACGAGTCAAGGGCGTAGTGGGGTTGTAGCAGGTGGTGTCTTTGTGCGCCAGAGTTTCTCGTTTTCCAATTCATAACAGTCTTCCTGCATGCTACTCTTTATCCTTCAAACGTTCCTGCATCATTCTTTGCACATCCCTCCTGTTTCTAATCGTTGGCTAAACTATCATTCAAGAGGATGACACCTGCTTGTCATTCAAGGTTTTGCCGTTACTTAGCTGCATCGCGTGGATTTTCCGGCCCGAAGTATGCATAAGCCGATCTTCACGCCGGCGAGGGCTGCCATTTCAAACTCCGGAACCGAAAACAGACCTCCGAAAACTTCAAGGCTCCGCAACAACTATGGAGCGGCGTGTGTTCACTGTCAGAGAGCGCACGCCTAATGCTGCGCAGTTACATTTCCTAGTGCTTTCAAATATAATGATAGTGACTTTTCATTGTATATAACATGTGACTCAACCACTACTAAGTAAAATAGATAATCCAACCCCCTACGTTCACTCACCCATCCACATCTGACCAACTACATCCCTACTCAGATATCGACGTCACAAGTCACCGACATGTTACCCACAATCATGAGCAAGATGTCTCGGTGTAAGTTTTGCATCCCGCCCTTCATCCCTGCACCACCAAACCCAATTTCCAACTTGAAAACCCGAAAGCTTACTCTCCCCAAGACACAAAACTGTCCGGTTCAGGATATCAAAACCCGCCATACAGCACTAGCGACGAAGACCTTCCCTTCCTCGCCAACCCACATGAAAAAGACGACTTCACCTCTCCACCCCCCAGCACACCCCGCTCGCGCCTCTGCTCCGCCCTAATCGTTGCTTCCACATCCCTAACCCTCGGCCTCCTTGCCTTCATCCTCGTCGTCGCGCAACGACGCCAACCCCAACCCGCCGTCTCACTCTGGCCCACCTACCAAGGCGGCTCCGCCGTCGTCGAGCACTGCGGCAACTCACCGCAAGAAGCGCAGGACCTCGGCTGCATCTGGGACCTCATGAGTTTCGGGTGGGTGCACCCGCGCTGCTTTAAGCCCGACGAGTCGCAAATGTGGCTCGAGAAGTACGGGCCGTGGAAGTGGTACTACGATCTGAACGCCACGCAGGAGATTGCGCCAGAGGACCTGACGACAACGGGGCGTGTGTATACGGAGCAAGGTTACCATGTTGTGCACTGTCTTTATATTTTTAAGCTGCTGCATATGGCGGGCATGAGTGGCCATATTGTTACGGATGAGGCGATTCCGTTGGCGCATACGCAGCATTGCGTGGATATGATTTCGTCGCCAAAGTATACGGATTTTAAGCATATTAATACGAGGGTGGATATGCTATTTGCGCGGTGTGTGACGCTTAACTAGATCAACACTTTAGTTGAGTTTGGAATAGCCGGAAGAAAAGAACGTAAGATTTGTTTACAAAGTATATTCAGCGATTATTTTTTAGTAGTAGTTAGGTCGTAGTTACCAAATCGAAAATTTTACCATAATGCTACATCAGTGTGTCATCACGGCGTTAATAATCACACAGTCCTCGATTGTTGACTTCATTAACATTGCATACGATTGATAGTTGAACGGAAACAGTGAGAGACGCATCTACACCTCGCTTCCACCATCTTGCTCCTCTTCATCACCAGGCTTATGACCATGCCCTTCAATATCCTCCATATCCTCATCCATACCAGGCCACAGCACTCTCTTCTGCAACACACCCTTCACATGGAGTACAGCCACCCAAAACCACAATATGACAAGTATGATAGTCATTGCGCTACACACCCCCTTGATTCCCGGACTATCCAGGGCTTTTGCAATCCATATCAGCGCAATCGTCATTCCCGCGTTAGGGAAAATGAAACCCCAGTGGTTGAGTGTAAAGTGTGAATCTTTGGCGCTAATAATGATGCTAACTGTAGCAATTGAACTGAACCAGAAGGAAATGAGCCAGAAAAAAATGCCTACAATGACGCCGAATGCCTTGATTGCATCGCCAACGGGAAACGATGTGATGGCGAGGAAGTCGGGGGGTAAATGCCTTGGAGCCTCGATACCGAGCGCGACGCACGCATTGGCGGTGTAAGCAGCTGGTCCGACAGCAACGTACATGCCAGGTCGCTTCGGGACCGCAGGCAGTGTGCTATTGACGAGGCGAGTGAAGTAGAGGGTAAGCATCAAAAATGCGATAGTCCAGCCCAGGCCCTGAAACGCGATGCTGCCAATGAATATCTTGTAGCCTGCGTCAGGAGGCTGGCTCTTCAGCAAAGTACTGCCCAAAACACCCAAGATTAGGAAGGGGTAGATTGGTAAGATCCATGAGGGCATGGCGTCGGCGACAGGAAGTTCTCTTCGGTCGAAGATGACGTGGTACTGAAAGACGGCGACGAGGATGACTATGGCAGCGTAGAGCCAGTATAGTATCTCCAGTGCCTTCACTAGCCATGGTCCGCTAGAGGGAACACCGTACAGCTCCATACAGTAGATTATCAACGCAATACTTACAAAGTATGCGCCAAAGAAGAAGCTTTCGTAAGGGTGGTGTAAGCTGAGTTTCAGCGATCCACGGTTATGTATGAAGCGGTAAGAGATACACGCGGTGAATATGAGAAATAACACGATATCCAATATGTAGAATATCTTTCCAATCGTTTTTAGGCCCGAGAAATTGTATGGTTGTTGGCCAAGTAGCGTGGCAAGTGCGCCAGTGGACATCGTGCATTCGAACCAAGACCAGCTAAAGTGGTCAAGACGCTTTTTCCATGGCAGGTGTGTGGGGTTGTAGTTTTCTCGTTGTGCTGGCCTGGTCCGCCGTTTGATAGGGCGAGGACGTGAGTGCGAAGACATGCTGCTGGTCGTGCCACTGAGGGCCCCGTTGACAGTGAATTTGTAATAACGATGCAGTCGCAGGCTTGCAAAGCAATTGATTGAAACTCAACACAAAGCGCAGCGTCGATACAGACTTGTGTTATGTTGATTGCCAAGGATTCCGCAGGATTCCGCTACTACTGGGCGAAGCAAATGCCATGATTTCTTGACGTCAAATTAGCATTCCATCTTTAAAAGCCAAGAAAACGGTTAAGATAAAGGCGTCATAACTTTAGGGAGGTCTACTTGGAACCTTGAAGGAGTATGGCCTTGGTAGATCGCGGTAAAGGTCGAGCGAATTACGCAGTGTTACCCCTGCATCATCGAGCCTCATAGATCTTCGTGCAACGTGATGACTACCTTCTGCGTATTTCTTAAAATCTATTTCCTAGGGGGTATTCAGAGGTCGGGCTGCGATAGGCTCAGCTGCGACGATCGCAGCTATAGTGCCGCCGCGGCAGGTGATGTGTCAATGACGTAACGTTCGTGACAGCGAAGCACCTTCTTTCAGCGTTTCTTTTTGGGATTTCATTGAATGGATTAATATGGGGATATTGCTTATTTACTTTGCATGTGGGTACATCCGATAATGCTTGATTTGCTTGTCCACCACAACATCCTCTAGTCGTGGGAATGCGCACTGTCTGCATGAATGATATCGTCATGTGACATTCCTAAGAGCAAGCCTATCTTATGGAAACTGGAAAACAATACGTTCGATTTTCTTGAGAAGTTTGATAATATCAAGAAAGCCATCAAGATCTGGGATATGGGCGGCAATATCCTCATCTGCTGGACTGAGGCCATTTGGAGCATTCGACTTTTGCAGCAACCCTAAGAAAACGCTGGACTGCCACCAAAAGTTTCCATGATTCTTCTAAAGTTTTCTTTAGAATATTGTAATTATTTCGAAATTACCGATGGGGACAGCTGACAACTTAATCGTGAAGGCTGACTGAATGTTGAGATCTCGGAACACCTTGGCGAATCGCCGTGGGTGAGTAGAAGAAGAAAAAATTCCCTCATCACTGCATAAAACAGGAAAGATAAAGTCGGATTTCTCCTGAAAGACGCTGGCACTTTCAAGTGTTGCGGCTGTCTCATGTGGATAGGTTGATGTCATCAGCTTCGCGCCAGTTACCGGCCCGCTTGGTATCTGATAAAGACAGGAAAGTTGGAGCTTTCGAGAGGCAAGACCAACGTCGCCTTACGAAATTAGTCGTATCTCCTGTATTTTTTGGTTTTTAGAAAGTCCATCCTTTCACATGCCCGGTATCTAGTCTTGCTGGTAGCACGGTCGTTAGTGCCTATGCGCATACCTGCTGCTACCATGGAAAACGTGGACATTGAGTGACCTGGTGTTGCTTCCATTATTTCCATAATATTGGCACTTGAATACAATCTAGAAGGGTTCCCAAGCACCAAAACTCCAGTTCTTTACGCAACTTCTTGAACAATTCTACGTCAATGTTAGCAAGACCAAATTCCTTGGGCATATCAGCTGTTCCACAAGACGCCGGGGCCGAGGAGCAGAACCCAAATTCCGCGGAATATTCCTAGCTTTCAACACGATGCTTATAATAAAAACTATAGAGCGAGTTGTAAGATGTTTTGCACGTCATATCGACCATCCTCGGAGGCTACCGGATTTTCGTTACCACGCTGTTTGCGATACATTCCACAGCCGATAATTTCTCTTGTATGCGCCACCAAGGCTTCAAAGCTAGCCTTGATGTATTGGCAAAGAAGATTAAACTTCACGTGAGCAAGGTAGCACTACAATGTGTTGGACACGACCCTGTAACGTATAGCTCTGTCTTCTAAGAACATTGTGGCATGTCAAGTTACACAAACAGAGTGCCTGACAGCAACAATTGACATCAACCCTCGTATACGAGACCGTTGACCCAAAAAGCCCATGACAGCAAATACGAACCACCCATCAGCCCAAGAACCAGGTCCTGGGACATCATTTCTATAAATAATTCAAATCTATGCGTTGGCAGCCAACATCCAATATTCTCTTCGTAACTATCTGGGCATTTTCGTACATGTGCACACTTCTCATTCGCGTTTAGTTAGCCACCATATCAGCCAACGCAGCCAGGAACAATGAACTTTCCGCCCAGCGAATCACAACCACAACCAAGCGAGCCGCAATACGAAAACAATCGCGTACCAGTTACCTAATCCCAAGACCGAAGAAAAGCGACATCAGACGACGCTGACCTCAGTACCATGGTACATATCCTTTCCCAGGGCCTCCCACACTTTAATATCGCCGATAACCGTGTTTACTATACCGCCCAGGGGTGGCCTGCAAGGACGATATATGCAGGGTAATATGCAGTAAACGCATGTAACCCTCACATTTCAGGCTGCTGCTTGCTTGCTTTGCCGTCGCAGGCACAACGTAACATACCGACTGAGTGCGGTGCAACGCTGATGCCCATAGCCCACAGGAGACAACGAGAGCGGCGAACGAGAGTAAAGAGGGCCACTGTGTAGCAGACAGGAAAATCATAAGAGATAAAAATAAATAAACTTTCCACAGCTCGTCAATTTCGATAGTAACAATAGATTTTATTTTATTCTCGCCAAGTGGGCTTTGCTCTGCAGCCTCTTTCTCTTTCAGCTTTGCAACGCGCCAGCCCCGCGTTTTGGGGCCGTGTTTTGCCCTGCGCCCACTTGTCCCCCCCCCCCCCAAAAGCGCCCGTCCCGTCCCAGCGAGGGAAATTACTCTTGTGTAATTATCCTGCTAGTAAAGAGCCAAAAATCCCTTTGGGCTCAGCAACTAGCTAGCTACCAAGAAGAGAAGAAGAAAAAAAATAACGAAATCACAGCCCCCTCCCCCGCTTTCCTCGCGTGTGCAAAGGCAAAAGATTCAGTGGTACCGAAACGCGGGATTGCGCGCGCTAGTGCCCGGCCACACGCGCGATGCTAGCGATAAGGTATTGGCTGAGTTGCCTAACGAATAAGCTAGAGTAATACGCTAACGGGCTGGCCGTGCGACTATGCCCCTTATGAATGGGTATTTGTCTTCCCCCATAGGATGGGAATGGAAATGGAGTGCGGTTGGTATTGGAGGTAGCGTGGCGTAAAGTGTTGTGAGCGTGGTGTTAGGTGGGGTGTGGCTGTATAGTTTGTTGTAGTATGACAAGTGGATTTGTGTGGTGTGATGGGGTTTAGGGCACGAGCGAAAGGGGGATGAGGGTATGGCTGAGAAGCATGGGGTTGTGGGTATATAAGAAGGGGCGGAAGGAGGTATGTTAGGATACAAGCCCAGCTTCTTTATTAAATAAGGATAAAGTAATAAGAAGACAAAGGGTATACCACTACATACAGGAAATATGTTTCTCCCTTCGTTGACTCTTCTCGCCACCCTTTCCTCCCTTTTCCTGCCTCACGTCCACGCCGTCGGTCGCGCAATCGTTAGCAACGAATGCCCGGAGGCTATTTACCTCTGGTCCGTAGGTGGAAGCATCGGTCCCCAGCAGAAGATTCAGCCGTCGACATCTTACAGCGAGACATTCAGGCGCGACCCTCAGTCCGGGGGTATCGCGCTCAAGATTTCGCCAATTGAAAATGGCATCTTTCAGCCGAATGTCAGCCAGACCATTTTCGCCTACAATCTTGACGGCCAGAAGATCTGGTACGATATGAGCGATATCTTTGGCGATGGATTTGCCGGACGCACAATGTCGCTCAAGCCGAGCGATACCACGTGCCAGAGTATTGTTTGGGGATACGGAAAGCAGCCCGCTGGAAGTTCGGTCAAGGTGTGCCAATCCGGCAGTGACTTGACTCTGTCGTTTTGCACAGGTGGTTGCTTGCCGAGTTGGTGTAAGTCACAGCATGTCCTTTTTTGAGTTTGGGTTACTGACGTTGAGCCTAGATCCTTGTGGAAATGCTGCGCCGGGAAGTAACAAGGTTTGTTGCACGCACTGTATTGGAAGTCATCACTGTGTTGCGCCGCCGGCATGAACGAAATGAAGATAACGATTGGAAATGCACTCATGATTACGAATTGGGGGCGACTGCTTCAAGTTCAAGACGTCATATTCTTGTACACATGTTTGGAGTGACATTTGGCTGGAGAGTGGAGTGTAGGAGTTCTTTGTGTACCTACTATCCTTCGTAATGTTAATTTGTTTGCTGATGACCCTTTGCAACGTCTGTCACGAGCCCGCTCTGACCTAGCCACTTCCTTAAAGTCCCTGCCCAAGAAATGCAATAAATTAGAATACCCCGAATACACCAATCAGCCCTATCTGAAAGTAAGAGCGTTCTGCATAATGTGGTCGTGAGACCTTTGCGCAAGCGCGTAATGCATTCTATCAGACTGTTAAACGAAATGAGCATCCCTGGCGACACTGGAATCCCAGTGAATGCCCTGCATGCTTCCATCTTGGTACATGTGTCCCAATTCCTTGACTAAAATAATATCCATATGCATACCACTTTACTCCGGAGCCTGAGCCGATTCCCTGGTTCGATTCGGCCAATTTCACCGCTTTATCCTCGCAGCCTGCTGCTCTATGTCTAGACAATCATCCTATAGCTTGTTTCTGACGGTTTGAAGAAACTTCTCCAGTCAACAGTAACCCAACTCGCAGTGTTGAACGTGGACGTTTCGGAGGTAGGTAGGTCCGGCGCGAGGATCCTACAACTCGATCCTATCTCCAGCTCAATCATGTTGTTTTCCAAGATTTTGACCTCGCTGATATTTGGTTCTGCATATCTTGTCCTGCGACCTCTCTTTGTGCGGCTTGCATCGTCTTTTCCAACATTGCTGGTCTTCTTCGAGCTTCCACTATCTTCAATAGGCTGTGCGCGGCTGTCCGCTGAGATGGGCAATACGATACCCTGAAATACAGCTTCTTCAAGTAGAGATGAAAGACTCTGGACTTTGTTGAAGCTGAAATGGAAGCTATCCAGGTCTAAAATCATTAGCACAATCAAAGCAAGGTTCTCAATAGTCTTACTGAGCAAATCAGGCAGCCGTCGCCTTATCTTCTGCTTTTCACGGTTTCTAACATGGGAGCTGTTCTCCATTTCCTCGTCGGCTTTGGGCTTCTGGTCGCGTGTTGAGTTGCTCTTTCTAGTTGGGTTCGTCCCCCGAAAGAATGCGCTTTGCGCCCATGACTCAGGGTCGAATGTCACGCTGTTGAAGAGTCGCGGATGGTTGTTCGCGTGACGTAAGAAAAGGCGACTGCCAATCATCGATGACTGGCGTATCCTGCTAGCATACGGGTTCAGATCTGAGAATGGCCTGCGGAAATTAGAGTATCTCCAAACTTCGTAAGGCATTAAGAAGCTCAGAGCCTCCAACTCGCGACGCATATCGACTCGCGTTTCTTTCACCCCGCAAAAGAACTGGACATTAATATTTTTGCGTTCAAGTTCCATTAGTAGGTCCAGATAACTGAAGCCGCCTTCGTCTGTGGCGTCGCAGTTAATGATGGCTTCGTGGGATTCGCTGGGGAAGAATAGTTCGACGTATCTCAACTGCATGTCTTCGGTAGCTGTCTCATTGATCATTTTTAGGAAAGCAAATGTGAATTTATTGCACGATCGTAAATGTAGGTGTGTGAGTGTAGGAGGCAGAACCTTTAAGCGTGCCTCTTCCAATGTCTGTAATCTCCCGTCTTTCAGTACGAGGTTGCGTGTTGGCGTATCATTCTTATCGGGTGTAGTATGACGATTCTCGTTCGAAAAGACAACGTTTTGTGGGCAACCGAGAGCATCCATAGGAACATCTAGGCGCTTGAGGCTAGAAAATCCAGCTAATGTGATGGTGTGTTTTCCCATATTTCGCCATTGGAGATCGCGAAACTGGAGAGTCTCGAGAGTTGCCGGCCCCTTCCATCTAGTGTCTTCAGCAATGGTGAGGGATTGTAGTGTGGGGCGCAGTATCTGGAGAGCAATTCCTTCGAATGGCGTGACTGGAAGTAGTTCTGGGTTCAACGAAGGAAATATATGGGGTGCTGAGTGGTTCGGCCTGGGTGGCTGCCCAGCTTGGAAACGTCTGGCTCCCGGGAGCTCAATCGTTATTGATCTCATGTTCGAGCACAACGCTACCAGTGTGTTCAAGAAGAAGGCTTGGTCCTCGCGCCATACTGGACCCAAAAAGTTCTTGGTTTTCCGGATGTGGCTCCAGGTCACCTCGCCCTGAGTGTTGGCAGTGATGATTCTACCAATCGTCTCCTTGACATCACCGTCGAGGTTGGGAACATCTCGGCAGTGGCAATCTTGGTGATGAGAGCAATCGAAATCACCGAGGTCGACGCTTGTGACTTTCTGGATGAGTTCAGGGTGATGTCCAAGCATCTCAAGGAAACCTCTGATGTTTGGCTGACGAAGCACTGGGCTCCGAGCCATAGTTTGTTGCACAACACCGCTGAGCCGCTTATTTACAAGCGCAAAGTTGAAGATGGACTTTTCCGTGCGAAGATTGGAGGCTATCAAGTCAATCAACTCGGATGGTAGGTCCAGAAGACATATCCTGGTGCGCTTGTACGCTTCATCGTAGTCCAAAACAGTGTTTGATTGGTGATCGAAATGTTGCTGCTCGTGATTGAGGGCAGTCTCTCGTCTCGTAGTCTCGCGTGGCAGGTTTGGGATTGCGGGCGCGATGCCAGGACTTCCCACTCGTCTCTTTCTCATCCTCGAGCTGGATGGTGTTGATGGCGCCATTGTGAATTTACGGACTTGCCTAAGGTGAAGTGATTATCAGACGGTTGGGTTGTGCCGTCTTCCTGCGTGTTTCTATATGCTCATGCGCTGGGTAGAAATCGATGTGGGCATTTTAGTCCCGTGAGTTAGTCACACCTGCGGCAACCGCGCTATATGCAGCTGATAAACACGAGGTGACGCCAGAAGGTGAGCGGGGCGATGAATAGATTGTTTTCTGTTTCTGCAGGCTTTAGAGATGACCTACGAGTGTATTTGAAAGATTTGGAAGGTTCTGCCTGTTTCAGGGACTGCCTGTTTGTTGCACTGGTTCACTGTAGTGGGAGGAGTGACACGTTCACGCCAAGACGCTAGCGTTCGATTGGGTGATTCGTCATTGCTGCCTGATACATACACGTGATTGATAGATGATGCATTCGGCATGAATAAATCCCGTTCTAGAAAATAGTGCATAGATAACGCATCGAGTGTGCACTTCCTTGTTTTGTACGTGTGTGGGGTAAAGGTACAGATGGCGGCTCCATCAGACAGGTCACGCGATTGAAGAAAAGGACATATTTGGCGAATCGCTTCTTTTGATGGCATTACCCACTATACTAAAATATGGCAACTCAAACTACATTTCCCCCTCTCTTCGAGTACATGAGCTCCAAGGCCCCGATTCACAGAGAAAACGATCGATTGGTTCTGATCCGACAAAACTCCGTCGTTGAGAGGTATACATTTCAATCCCAACAAATGTCCACTGATTATGTTCCGCTCCACAGAAGTCTCCTCTTCCTATCTTTGCCGTATCGTAATGCCCTCTATGTATCGCATCGCTCCCGAAACACCCAACACCCAGGAGGTCATACGTCATCCTGCTAGACTTCGCGTCTTTCATCTCTTTGGATGAAAACGTATGGTCAAGCAGAAAAGCCCTCTGGGGATGCGACTGCGATAATGGTTTTTGTTGTAAAGTTGCGGGGCGATAGCGAGGATGTTCAACAATGACACCGTCGGAGCGTTCGACTGCACGATATTTCTTGGGACGTCGCTTGGGCTTGCTTTGAGCGTTCTTCGTTGTTTCGTAGAGGGCGTGGGGGGGTATGTTTGCATTTTGATGAACGTCGCAGTTGGGCTTCTTGATTGAAGTCTCTACAAGGACGCGCATTTCGAAGTAGATGAATACTAAGTGTCTTCGGCTGGGCAGTTGATAGTCTAGTGTTTTCTGTGTGTGTGTGTGTGTGTGATGCTCTTCTCTTTGTCAGTGCGTCATGCTCGCTTTTGTACTCACGATTCTATCTACACGGATACTTTTAGCGCGCGAGCCCTCACGAAGCAGGAGGGCTTCACAGAATCCAGAACCTTTCCATCGAGATCTCAAACCCTCCACAGCGTTCATTTGCCCTTCTCTTGTGCGACCAGTTCGTTACGAAACAGTTGCCTTACGAGCGAAGACCGGGATCGTCCTAAAAAAAACCACCCCACAAAGATATCATATCTGCAGATATTGGTCCCAGCCTTCAAAATCTAGACCGCAAAGGCCTCTCGGAACCAACCGTAGTCCTAAGGTGGATAAGCTGCCGCGGCTACAACACGCGTTCCCCATGTCTGCAACGTCTCTTGAGGGTAGAATAACGTCACAAGAAGGAGACGGTGAGATGTTCTAGACTTGAAGGCCAGGCGTGGCGTCTGAGCATCCGACTCCATAACCTGGTGTTGTGCAGCCGAAATGCACAGCCTCCTGCGCTGCGTAGCGAATATGATGTCATGCGCAAGGCCGACACCGTTTCTTGCGCATGTCAAGCATCAGCTAGGGACTCCGGGCAGCACGGCTGCGAAATAGCCAAAGGCCTAGATTTCTAAGTTGTAGTAGGAGGTAGGGAGTTTAAGGAAGAGGATTGCGGGGAGAGGAGCGTGGGGGGCGCGATGATGTCATGATACGCTAGAGCCGCTAGAGCCGAAGACCCTGACAGGAACAGGAAACGCAAAGCAAAAGTGACCAAGGGTCTTGTAGCAAGCAGTACAGGCTAGACATGGGAAATCTTAGAGTCTTTCTGGAACTTTGTTACCGCTCCAGTTTTATGTCTCACTAAAGAAAAGCATGTGCCGTATTAAATCGCACGGTCATATGGTGAAAAGCAGCTAGTCTTACAGCAGAGGCCCATTCTATGTATGTAACAAGTGGGAGCGAAAAACCGTCTCCAGCCCTACGTCATCTTCATCCATCTCGGTCATAAAAGTAAGATTGTTTCAATGATACTAGTACTAATTCAACCTATTATACAATAAAGGGGAATACGAAGTGGAATGTAGAGGTAAAGTAACATTATCCAAAACTGTGCGAACAGCGGATAACCAGCTTTGACAGAATGGAGGTACATCAATCAGGTACTTGCCTTGTAGCAAACACTTGGTCAAGAATCAATCACGACTTGTAGTGATATGAACGGCAATTGAGTCATTAAGTCTACTGGAGACGCTTACCATACATTGAGCGCCGCAGCACCAGCAAGCATAAGCAGGGCAGAGCCCTCGATGCCGAACCTTGCAGCAGCGCCAGTGCTCTCGGGTACGCTTGCAGACGACTGGCTCGATGTTGGTGTGGGCGCAATACTTGGAGTAGAAACGGTGCTAACAGTTGCGCTGGCCGACGCGCTGGCCGTCTCGCTGACCGACTCGACCGTCATCTGTCCTGTACTCGCACTCCTTGTCAAAGTTGCAGAGGTAGACTGAGCGCTCGTCTTGGTGGTTGTCGCGCTAGCGCTTGGTGCTGTGCTTGTTTCGGTCCTCAGCAAGCTATTTCCCGCAACAACATCGACAGTCAAAAACTTGACATCGTCGTTAGAGAAAACCGCCGTGACGGGCTCACCGCCAGTGTCAGCGTTGCCACCTTCCTGCTTTACTGTGCATGTCATCTCGACTTTTTTCTTATTGTAGTCGCAGCCCAGACTCATCGAGACACCACCAGCGTCCATAGTGGCCTGGTAGCGTGTTTGCGAAAGGATCGTCGCGTCAAGTCCAGGGCCCCAACCACACTCCGAGCTGTCTACGCCAGTAGGGCAAGCCATGCGGAATTCCGTCATTGTTGGGTTGACAGTGTTGATTGTCGCGACAGGATCGGCGCCCTCATAGCCTGTTGCGAATATGTTGTTAGAGAGCGATTTCGTGAGGGCAGAGAGACAACAAGAAAATTGCGGGTGACGGACCACCGGGGAAGTAAAAGCTAACGATATCAGTAGCGCAGACGGTGCTGGCAAGAATGGACAGAAGGGCGGTTGATTGACGCATGTTGTGTTTTTTGTTGTTGTAATCCGTGTGGGCTCGATAGCGGGTCTGTCAGAATACGAGTGTAAGAATTAAAGTTTAGATGTATGTCGATAGGCGGATAGGTATTGTGGCTTTGTTGCAGGGTAAAAGGAGCGACTATGGTATGTGTGGCGTTAAGGAACGTGAGCTTGCGAATGCAAAGCGAGTGGGCAGACGCGGCAGGGCAAAAGGCAAAGCGGACGGGTGTGCGCGCCGACTCTAGTAGATATAAGTACGAAGCGCCATTTACCTGTATCTCTGTTCCCCCTGAGCTTCAGACCAAGGCTTGTCTTGCTAGCCGCGGCTAGATATGTGCAATTAGCGGCGATCTGCATGAGATGCACAGCCCGACTTGAACTGTAGCAAAATTGACTCCAGGCCAGCAAAATTGACACCAAGCCTTGCAAAATTACCGTGTGGGTCGATGTCGGGGACCAAGGAGATTGGCCATTAGTGGACACGAGTCAGGTTAGCAGTACCGGTAGGGCCGGGACGAGTGGAGCCGCACGGTAGTAGGTGAACGACGGCTTTCGCATGTGTTGTCAGGCACACATGGGCTTGAAACGCTTGCTTAGTCGACCAAGATGTGCGTGACACGTGGATTGGGAACAGTGGGGGCTGCGGGTGCCGAGATCCGACATGTTATCGCCATCGCGGCCGTGTTCAAGAGCCGGGCCGTTCTCTGGGAGGTCTTGTAATATCGCCACGGATATGGGTGCGGGTGTGGGTGTGGGCATGGGATGCAAATGAAAGATGGAGGTAGAGAGGGGCAGAAGGGATGGAGGATGTGGAGAGAACATGGGGATTGGTACCTGAGCACCTGCTATGCACAACCCCACCTTCCCACCTTCCGGCACTTGGTCACAGTGTTATCATCATCATCATCATCATCACCATCATCACCACTACAGCATTACATACATATACATCTCCAAAACCCAGCTTGCCGATGATGGGACCAGCCCTTCCCCTTACAGAACGCCCCGCATAGTCCGGCTGCTCGTCTTTCTCTGTTTCCGGCCATGGCCGCTGCTGCCTCATCAACGAGTGCTCTGTCTGTGAAGTCGCGCTGATCCCTGCACCTAATCACCCTATCAACACTACTTACAAACTAGCACTACCAGGCTCATCAGTCATGGAAGCACAGGGTCTGCTTGTCATATGGGGATCTGTTGACCCTACAACAGTAGACGAAGGCGCTCTGAACGACTGGTGGACCAACGAGCATCTCCCTGAGCGCCTGCGCCTCCCAGGATTCCAGCGAGCGCGTCGCTACCGCGCGCTCAACCCTGAAAATGGGCACAACGAATATCTTGCCGTGTACCAACTGTCCAATGTGCAAGACCTGGCATCAGCAGAGTATCTGCACGCGCTCAATCATCCCACGCAAAAGACGATGCAGTTTATGCCGTCGCTGGCACAGATGAGTCGGTTTGCTTGCGAGATCGTTTCGTCCGAAAGTGCATCCGTTTTGACATCGAACCAGCCGGTTGAAACACACAACATGCTGTATATGGTAGTCTACGAAGTTGATGTTGCACAGCAAGACCACAACCCATTGCTGTCAATCCAGGAGCATATTGGCCGGGCGCGAGACGCTGCATTGGCAAAGACGATGCATGTTCACCTGGCTAAAGGCAATCAAGAGCTTACCGAGATTGGTAGTGCCAGCAAGTCTTACGAAGGCGTGCATTTCAAATCCTCTCAAGTCGTTGGCGAGACTGAAACACTGGCGGCTGACACGGTTATTGCTTTGTACGAACTCAGCCACAATCCGACTGACAGCTCGATAGCCGAGGGCGACATTGTCAGCAAACACCTTGGCGACACTTCAAGCCTACGGGGGGTTCGTATCAGGCATACCAATATCTATCGTCGCATCGCTTCCCTTGATAGATCTTCTCTTGCGCATTGACGTGACCTGGATGCTTCCGCCTACACCTATGCTGGCCGCCTTACCACGACGAAACGCATTCGGTAACGCGTGCCCCCATTTTTAGGCACCACGGCCAATCGAATACCTCTGGCAACAAAACCCATACAAGCCACACTATGGGCACATACCAAAAATGGGTGCGGGTCACCAGGGATCGCTCACGAGGCGTAACCGGTCAACAGGCTAATCGAGCCATAAAGCTTGCCTTTTATCCTGCGTTGTGCAGCTATCGTCACAGTTGTCTTCGAGCCATCAACAGAAGAATCGACTCTCCCAGCAATTCATTGACGCCAAAATCAATATGCCTGCCATGAGGATGCCCCTCGCTCTTCGACCCACCGCGAATGTTTCCCCTCGCCTCCGTATCCTACAACACGCCCAGCTAGCCATCGCATTCTTTGCATTCTTTGCCTTTCTCGTCACCTTTCTCATCCCGTTTCGCCACAAACTCTTCACGCTCAGCCTTCTCTACACCCCGCTCCTCACCTCCATCACCACCATCTTCTTCGTCATCCGTGAGCAAAAGAACGCAGAGGCTGGAACTCTTTCCAAGCAGAAATATGTAAAGTACCAGGTGCTCAAGATGTTGGCTGCAATCGGCATGTCGTTCATAGGATTCATCGGATACCTAGCTAGCGCGCCTGCTGAGGCCGACCAAGACCCACATCATCCTGGTACGCAAGGCATGTGGTTGAACGGAGTCAAGATTGGAAGATGGCAAGGTCTATTGCTTTGGCTCAACTTCTTCAACTGGTACGTAACCTTTTGATCTGCAGTAGACACCGTTAGCTTCATGGGTGCTAACACATGCTTGATAGGGTCTTCCTCTGGGCTAGCTTGTTCTACTCGTGCTGCATGACGAGCAAGAAGCAGGGTGCTATTGCCCTTGCCGGTGACGAGGCCAACATTGGTATCGATGATGATACTGCCAACGACGAAGCGATTGCCCGCGACCTTCAGGCTCAGGATCCCAACTGGCAGGCCTAGACTTGAGATAGTGGGCAGGATTTGCGACGTCATTTCCGTATCAGACACAGTCGAGAGTAACATCTCGAAAGGAAAGTCAATGTGTTAGAATAGGAAAGCGATGGATGTGTTTCATGTTATCCAAGCAAGTAGTACTATGGGGATGAAGTACAACAATAGTCAATTGATGCTCTGTCCAACATTTATTAGACAACCATGTTTTTTTATTCGCCATTTCTGTGCCCGCATGCCTTGAACGCGACCCACTTCTATAACCTCACTTCACCCCCGAACACAATCTCGGCGTCCAGAAAGATGATCACAAAGAAGAAATACACTGCCTTATTCCATGACCATTGCATCTTCATTCATAACGTTGTAATCGTCATAGTAGCAGCGTCACTTCAAATCATACGATAAGAAAGCGTTTGGGTAAGGCATCCTAGATCCAAGACGATCCGTGATAATAAAAAACAGTTCATAAGTCATAACCACAAAAAGTACACTACATAAGTGTCGTCACGAGATCGACCTCAGCTTTCACACCCCATCGTTCTCACGCAAAGGTGGGAAGGCTTCTGGACCCAGCACGCCAACATGTCGCGGCCTATCCGTACCTTCGAGTACTTGCAGCGTACCTTCGATGCACCTAATATCATCCACGCTGTCGGCAGTAATATGGGTATCATTCTTGCTAGACTGTGGCTCCAGCGACTGCAAATCCACATCCGGTGCACCTGCAGGTTGCCCAGAGTCGTATCGCGATCTTCTACGTCGCGCGTCTTTCTGTAGCATGCCCTGCTGATTGCGACTAAAGAGGCCGCGGATGAGCATGCGGCGTGGCATGGGGACTTCGGCGAAGATGTCGGTGGTGAAGGGGCTTGTTTGGATTGAGGATTTGGACCCTGTGAAGGAGATGCGGTTTTGGTTATGGGGGGTGGCGAGAGCGATGGTGCGGATGAAGTGGGCCATTGACATTTCGATGTTGAGTTTGGCTAGGTAGGCTAGTGGGTGAAAAATGGCGTAGCTGCTTGACGTTAGTTTGACGTAAGGATTGGAAAGGTTGGTGGTGACCTGCACGAATCCGTTGGGGATGCTCATTGCTGCGATGATCATGACGTCGAGTAAGAGTGAGACTACAATGATGCGCTTATTAAAGCGGACTAGGCGGTTGTACTTGCTCAGGCCGTTTCTCACAAGCTCAGATTGGACAGTCTTGATGAAGTACCAGTTCAGGTACGCGTCCAAGAGTAGGAAAAGGACCTTCTCAATTCGATCCCAGATAGAGTTGATGCGTATCCATCTGAGTTTTGGTCAGTCAGAACATCAAAGATCACGCACAGTGAATACCTTTGACTGATCTGAAGACGCGCGGGCATCCACACGCAAAAGACGCTGATGTTGATCAAAGTGACGATGACCGCGGTTCCTATAGCCAGATACGTTCCTCGCTGTCTATCCGGCAGAACCACACGAATTCGATTGACGATAATCTGCGGCAAAACTTGAATCTGGACCACCCAGCAAACCACTGGACTTGTTAGTTATCTTCTATTTAAACAGATGTGTCATACTTGCAGATGCCCATGTACATGTAAAAACTGGGCCGTATAACTCTTAGTAAGAACAGCAGGCAGACTACGGAAAGGACCACCGAAGCAGCCAATTCAAGCCATATCATCCAGATATATGTATTTTTCCATGGTTGTCTGGACGCTCTCGTCTGCCTGAAACCAATGAAAGCCGCAGAGAGGCCAAAGATGTTGGCAATCCCGAATGCAGTGCCCGCTAAAATAAGATCCGATTGACTCACTGGATGTATAGTGTAGTTTTTGGAGATGAATGGACCCCAAGCTTTATAGCCTGGAGGCAAACCATTATTGTTGATCATGAGCTTGACTTAGGTAGCACGTAAGCCAGCCCAGGCGTTATTCATGGTCGACGTTGAGGCGATACCAGGGTATGCTGCAGAGAAAATTTATGAACAAAAACTTGATGTTGTGGCTTTCAGTAGCTTCCGTTAGTACTCGAAAGCTGCGGGGCCGAAGGTGCTATATCATGAACAGTGGAAGAAGCTCCCGGTATGAATAAAGGTCCGTGTGTCTGTGTTGGGTTTAACCCAATGTGCGAATTCGGGTGGTTACTATGGTGCCCAGCACGGGTCGTTTAGAAATGTGTTGCCAGTGAAGGAGGAAGCGGGTGAGGTTTTCAGCGGGAGCCGTTGAGCTGACATCGACGATCGCTGATCGTGTCAATCGTTCAAGAAGGCCTTAGCATCCGCCTTGACTGATTGGACGCCGCACAAAAAGAACGGCGTGGCTTCGGTGTCGTCGCCACTGCGCAGAAACCATAATATTCTCACGATCCTGTCATCAGAGTCAACGGAAATCTTATATCTCTGGAAAGATGGATTCGCATGATAGTACCTCTTCTGGTGCACGAAAGCAGTGTCGCAGGTTGCAGATGGCTGTGGTGAAGTGTCAACGACATCCATTGGCATTACGAAGGAGTAACCTGAGAAGCGTTGTTGATCATCATACCGCTGCTTTAATGTATGTTTATTTGTGGTAAGCTGAAAAAAACGACACGCACATGTGTACACGCTGAAAGTGGAAGAGTGTTGACGTAGGCCAAGATTGAATATGTTCCGTTCCGCTAGCGCCAAAGTATAAGTACGACACGTGACACACCTGGCATTATCAACGTGAGCTAGCCTACACCGAATCATATCGGATCTATAGAACCTTTCATATTGATATCTCAAAGCAGATAAAGTAGCTACCTTTTGAGGTTACGCACTACGAACATCATTCAACTCGCGTGATTAGACATGGCCAGATGCTTGTTCATATTCACATGCTCTCCTTACAACTACGTTTCTAGATTTGATTTCTTTCATCCAACTTGCCCCTATGGTTTTGCTCATTGAATGAAGCGTAAACAGAGAGTTTCTATCGGCAAAAATAATGATTCCGCTGCAAGATTGAACCTAACGTTGGGGAAACTGTCTTCGCCGGTGAGTTGCCCTGCGACCACATTAACAAAGGAACAGTACATCTCCGACACCTCGTCGATCCTCCGATCTTAAAAGACCCTAGTGTGTTCTGTAATGTCTCTAGGGTAAAGTGGGTCTGCATCCTACTTACAAGCTCTCGAGTCACGCTAGGGTTTACATACATTACTCCGATGTCATTTGGATTTATGCATGTCTATGCGCATAAGCATCACACATGTTTGAAGACTTCGCTCTCACCTACATGTTGAGTCCTTGCTCTGATTGCCGTTCGTGTAACAGGCAAAAAATGTACATAAACTTCGATGTGGGATGCGAAGACTGAATTTTTAAAAAGGGCGAGTTTGGTAGCTAGTGCAACTGGCTGCATGGTATAAAATATAGGGCTGAATGACCTAATTGTAGTTTGGAAAGTACCACTACATATCTGATGCTCTCTATACGTAGAGATGTCTCTGGATACTCGTTATCTTGATTGTTGTACCAGATTCTTCGAAATGCGTAACTTCATTAGAAATTAGTATGGCACAGCATGCCACCAGAGACCGCCATTGTGAGTAACCTACTACTTCTATTTCCGCTTCTGCCCAGTGAGGGTTTGCTACCTCCAGAATTCTGTTTAGCAGAACCTCTGCTGCGTGAAAAAAAGAACCTTGCCGTCTCCCGGCCCCTCGACCAACAGCCACCAAAGTTACGAACCCTTCCATTTACATACACATATGCTGCCAGGAGTCGACTTCGGCGATCGAAGAATTCAGCAACTCATTTTACCTCTTGTGGATCTTTTGCTGTGTCTAAAATCTGGAATGGGGTTTCCGAGCTCAATTACTTGGTTCAAAAGGATTGGGTCTTGCGATACTAACCACATTCTACTTCTCTCATAGTAAAGGAATGCTTTGTATTCTAAGTATCATCAAGAGGGTCTTTCAATGGATCTCGCAGACTTATCTATAGGAAAGCTTGGTTATCGAACATCTAGCAATCACATGAATCAGTACAAGCGTATACATTTTCCAAAAGACCTTGCATGGCGCCCAATAGAGTACCCGGAAGATCGATCCTCATCGAAATCTTGGTTACCTCAGCCTTTGCAAAGCTTACTGCCCCTGCCTGGGTGTAACATTAAAACATAAGGGACGTCTAATTAAAGACTTGTTGATTCTCCGTAAAAGAAACGGATCACTAGCAACACCGATATTTGCAGCTTGAAAAGATTACCTTAAGTCTGCAGTTCGATAAGTAGGACACTGCAGTCAATGCCAGCAGGGCCACCAGTAGAACTTTGTTTAGTAAACTAACCCAAGCAAGGAAAACAAGTACAGAAAGACTACCGAACGGTAAAACACACCCCGGAACCCGCTACTCTACGGCCTCCGAGGCCCCCTTCCTAACCAATTAGTCCCACCCGATAATCCATCGGCCGGAGAACTTGATCGCTGCCCTAATGCACGACATGCCATCCTATTACCACTTCCTACATAGCGTACTGCAATATGCGCATCACACTTCTTAGAAGTGATCAAATCAACGCATGACTACGACCTGGATTTTCCAGCCTAACCCAGTCGGCAGACCTCACGACACAACATGAGCATTTCTCCAACGATTCGTTTGGCCGAAACTGCTCAAATTCCGATCCTGAGATGGGCCTTCCGCGGCCCCACTGTACCCACACGTGTGAAGATAAGCAGGCTGTTCAAGCTTTTGGGAAAGATACAAGCGGGGGGGGTCGCCACGGGTTCTGGAATATCCTCCTAGGATACCTGAAATTTACTCCCCATTGTTCTGATTTCCTCAAACAATCGTAGCCGTACACTGATACTACATCCCCCTGCTCGAACCCCTCATCACAGCTTAAAGCTACGATGGCACCACAGACGTCCATCCCGCTAGCAGCAAACGTACTGGGTACCCTGGGCACGGTGTTCTGGTGCGTCCAGCTTGTACCGCAAATATGGCGCAATTACCGGACGAAAAGCACGGTTGGGTTACCGGAATCAATGATGCTGCTTTGGTCCATTAGCGGTGTGCCTTTTGGGGCGTATGCTATAGCTCAGCAGTTCAACATTCCGCTTATTGTGCAACCGCAGTGTTTCGGGGTGCTTTGTGGGGTTAGCTGGGCGCAGTGTTTGATATATGGTCGGTATGTTGAGTGTGCGCTATTGAGTATTTTGATCAGTGTATTAATAGATTTATAGGAAGTGGAGAACGTGGACTGCATCTGTTTTGTTATGCACCCTTCTTGTCATCTTTGCTGGAGTAGAAGTTGGCCTTGTGTTTGCGATTCGGCCGCCGTACTCGAGAGGATTAGAGTGGCCGGTGTTGCTAATTGGTATCATTGCTTTCCTAACACTCATCTCCGGTTACCTGCCCATTCCTTTTGAGCTTCTCAAACGACGTGGGAGGGTTGTTGGTATAGATTTCATCTTCTTAGCAATCGATTGGAATGGTGCGTTTTTCTCACTCATGGCTTTGGTAGCTCAGAATGAGTTTGATGCGCTATTCGGCACTATGTACGCTTTATGGTGAGTCACGTGCAAAGTTTTCAGCTACTCTATGGGTATTGACCGATGACAGTTGCGCGATTGAGATGAGTATGGTCGTCTCGCATCTAGTATGGCTTTTTCGGACTCGCGATATTCGGAGACGTGCCAAGGAAGCCGGCAAAACGTTTGATAAATACGAAGAGGGAATCGAGTGGCAGTCAAAGGGCTTTGATGTTGAGAGGCTGCTCAAGGGCATATGTGCTGGGAAAAACAAAGGCGAGGAAGATGGAAGAAGTGCTGCTGTTGATGACATCGAGGCATCTGCTGCACCGGAAGAAGTGATGCCAAAGACTGTTCCGAATGCTACCAGATAAATACTAATTTAAGTCTAACAAAACATGTGAACAAAACCCCTACTACCTGCATTAAATTCAAAATTCTGATCAACATCACAAACCAACATAGAACAATCAATAAAACGTCTTTCAGGAACAGGTTTGGGCATTATTGTTACATTTTTGGTAAACAATTAGAGCTACTCTCTAGAAAGCTTAAGCAGTACTACCATTCGCACTCCGCTTGCGCTGCATTTTCATGCGCTGTGCCTCCGCATACTTGTTCTCTGCATCTGGAACACCACGTATAACACTGCCTCTGCGCGAGGTTGGCATTGATCCACCTTGCTGTGCAAATGAGTTTGCCCTGCTTCCATAAAGCCCTGGTAAACTGCTAACACGACGGCCGCCAGTCTCGTCACGAGCAGCGTTCAGCTGTTGGGCGAACGGACTGCGCTTGCGGAGCTCAGGGCCCTTCCAGTAGATGACGTAGACAGAAACGACCAGAAGCAACGAGATTGCGAAAAGGATTGTTGAGGCATATGCGAGATGCAGATCGCCGCCGATATTTTGGAAGAAAGGTGTTGCAGGAATAGTGAGAACACCAGCCAAGAAGTCACGGGCCCAACCATTACCACCTGTCGCGGAAGCGGAGTAGGGTCCATAGGCGCAGATCATGTAATCGATGGTGGCCATGTAGATGGCGTAGTTGGCGATACCAATGATTGCGGAACCAATGAGAGAGCCAATCCAGTGGATTGGCGGACCGGTGGAAGTCCAGGCGAAGATGATGAGACCAATAGGGAGACAAGGTGCAGTGTAGAGCAACCACCAAAGTCTCGCCTCGTACTGAGCACGTTCATCTTCAGGCTTCTCTTCACGAAGGCGTTTGTTGCGCTTGATGGCTGGGAAGAAAGAGAACCAGGCAAGGAAGTAGCCGATACCAATAGCAATGAAGGTTAATCCGATAGCGAAGGGCGCAAAGTTCCATTGCTCGTACACAAGGGCATACGACTGAAGGAACATGAAGATGATTGCATCGGAGAAACCGGACAGTAGCGATAAGACAAGGACGATAGGCTCGGTGAGGAACATGCGGAATGGACGCATCCAGGTAATGAGGATCTCGTGCATGCTGAATCGCTCCTTGAAAGTCTTGAGTTCGTTCGGTCCCCAGATGTTGTTCGGCTTGCCATTCTTCTCGCCTTCTTGACGACGCTTCTTAGCAATGCGGTCCATGAGCACTGTTGTGCGAGTTTCGGGAACAAGGAGAGCATGGGCGATTTGAACTGCACCACCAAAGATCAACTGGATCCAGATGTTCCACCTCCACGCGAGGAATTGCTCGACGAAGCCACCGACAATAGGACCCAGAACTGAACCACCAACTGAAGAGAAGACGATGAACGCAACAGCATATTGTTGGTTGTCACTGTATATGTTAGTTTTGACCGTGTTTTAGAAAGAAAAGGCACTCACGGTTCCCACATATCAGCCACCATGGCCAAAGTAACAGAGCCACCAGCAGTAGAAAGACCACCAAGAGCACGAAAACCAATGATGGTCCCAAAGTTCGGTGCGATACCCACAGGGATCTGCCAGATATTCACCAGGAACAAACTGAGCTGAAGGATAGGCCATCGCCCGAGCTCTTCACTCCAGGGCGCCCAAAGCTCGCAACCAAAGGCGTATGTGAGTAGGAAAACAGCTGCACCAACACGCGCTGCCTGTGCGCTGACGCCGAACTCTTCCGAAATGCCGCTGACGGCATTGCTGTATAGCGATGTATTGAAGTTCATGCTGACTTGCACCATGAAGATGACGCTGAGGATAGTCCATTTCTTCCATTCGGGGAAAGAAAACCCAAGCTCATCGTAGCAATCTTCTTCGGTGATTTCATAGCGATCGTAAGTGCCGTACTTTTCGTAGTGTTCTCTATCGGCAGCAGAGATGGCGTGGTCAGCTGGGTTTTCCGTGTGAGAGTGATCGCCATCAGAAGCAGCTTTTTTCTCGAGATCGCCAGCCTCGTTCTTGTTGACGGTATCGGGATCGTGAATGTCTGGTCTTATTTCCGCGGCGGACGCCATGTTGTCGGACGCTAAGCGCTTAGACGATTGATAGTTATTGGATATTTGGGCAGTAATTGGTGTGCCTTCGAGGCCCCAAAAGTACGGGCTCCGAGGGCTGTGTGGGATAGAAAGATTAACTATTAAAGCGAGGTTCGCGCGTCATGATTACACTGGGGAAAGGGACTCTTATAACTTGGCAGTGAAAAGTGAAAGTGGTGATGGCATAGGCGCGGCGAACCAGGCAGCACACTGCATTCTGTGCGCATCACAAGGCACACGGTCAATGCTGAGGACGTCATACTACATTGTCCGCACTGACAGAGTTGTGGCGCTATGGCGCGTTCAAATTAGGGGCCGTTTGGTCCTTCAGGCCTACTACCCCACAGCCTCTCAGACCAGGCGATGCAGCAGTAAATATGGGGCAAATGCAAATCGGATGTCGGCCGAAGCAAAGGCGGTCTATTGAAGAGGTCTATCGTCGTCATACCAAAGGTGGCATTGCTTGTTACCCAAAAGTATGTACGCGTACATATGAGTGCGCAAGTTATAACAATGCAAGTAGGCCTCTAGCCACAACTTCATATACACCGGATAGGGTCCTTCACCCTAGCTACGCTCCAAGCTTTGCATACAAGACCTTGAAGACCGTCCAAGCATCCCAAGTAAGCCGCCCAAGCAGTGACGATCAGTGCCGCTTAGCCACGCCACCAACCTTAGCCTCGAACTTCGAAAATTCAAGGTGACATTGATGACGTCATATTATCCCCCTCCCCATGGCACGAATCAACGTCGGATCGGGGTCTCCATTGCACTCCACTTCATTGTAACAGTTTTTTTTTCTGCTCCACCTCCGACTTTTGCCCCAGTCTTGACACCACGAGGCACGTGCTGGTGTCTCCCACGCGATGTCGCGGTCTTCGCGGAGTGGTCGGTTTGCCTCTTACGGAAGGTCCGGCAGCTCAAAGACATCTACATCTACATATGTCAAAACACGTTCTGATTAATTTAGGATAAGGCTAAAGAAAAAGGTTTAAAATTCCGTGGCACTTGCTCGACAGCACACGGTCATAATATTAAGAATTTTTCTACAACCTATCCAATCACCATGTCTTCTGAAGGTGCTTGGTCCGTGCAGTTGCATTTCCAAGAAAAAAAGATCCATTGTTGAAACGGTCCATCGTGAATACTACGGCAGATTACCAGCAAATTGTTGTGGGTCTCATGTGCTGTATTACTCATTATGGGAAGCTTTCCGTCCACACGCCCTGACAATCCGATCTCCGACTTTTCAGCCTCATCCGCTTCCCAGGACCATCTACCGGTCTCCACTAGGGACCGCAACGTGCGCTACCACCCCTTCTAGAACGGCCTAGTCTAGAGGAGTATATCTTCAGACCGCTTTGTTTTTTCCGGTTCTCTCCGTCTTTGGTTTTCGTGCTCACATCACTGGAGTGATACTTTTCCATCCTCGCTTTGCTCAGACTCCCCTTCCAACTTACTTATGATATCTAACACATTGGACTCTCGTACTTTGAAACTTTCACAGCCACCTCGAAATTGCTTTTCTATGGCCAGAAAGTCTGCACGCTGGTCCGCGGATCAATGAAATAGGTCCCTGTCGGTCGGAACCTGCATTCTCACGTACACACTCTCTTCCACTCTATCTCTCCCTCCTCTTTCCAATAATCTATCCCATCCCTCTTAGTGAACCCCATCTTTTCCAGAACTCTCGCACTCCTTGCATTCTCCTTTTCCGTCTCAGCAATAAACCTCCTCACACCTCTTTCACTGCTAGCCCACTGCATAACAGCTTCCGCGGCCTCGCGAGCCATACCCTTACCCCAATGCACCGGCGCAACACCATAACGGAGCTCTATCATTTCCTGCCAGTGCGGTAAAGGGGGGTCGGCATCGGTGCGCGGTGGCATAGATGTTGTAGTTGCATCGCGCACACCCACATATCCGACCCATTCCACACGACTCAATACTTGAGATATTGTTTCTTCGTCTTGCTCTTCGATAACATATAGTTGCTCATTAGTTCCAGTAATGAGTCGTGGGGTCAGTTGGTCAATTTGCGCCGTTGATCGTAGGCCCACTGCAAGGTCGCCCATATTCCTATTTTCCCAGCATCGAGCAATGTCTCGTGTTAAGATGATTTCCCGCGTTTCTTCTTCTGTCCAGTTTCTGACTGGGAAAGAAGCTCCGAATCCCATTACGCAAAAAGATGCGTCGGCGTGTAGGCTGGCGTAGAGATTCAGATAAGATTTGTTGTGGATTGCGAGGGGTGTGGGTACGAGAACTAGTCGAGATGTAAGGAGAATAAAAGAGTTTGGTGACATTTTTGAAGATTTTTCGTTGGCTGTTAGATAGCTTCGTGATAATTGTATCAAGGTATTGGTTTGCTAATTCGAGAGAAGAGTTGAGGGATAGCTTTAGGCTACCAAGCCAGTCATACTTGCAGTGTACTAGGCAAGAAACGGCATAGCGTAGGATGCTTGAGAGATGTGGTATGAATTTAAGATGAAGTAGTAGAAGTAAATTTGATTGATTAGTCGCACAGTAAGATTACAGAATTACCCACAAGGTACTGAGCTCTAGCGATCTTTCGCTAATGCATGTAAAACCCTGTCGCAGATTGAAGTATGGGTATCGCAATTTAGAGGGTCTAGAATAATGCCTCCATGCGAACAAATGGAAGAAAGTAAAAACATGAAATGATGTATCCATCCCTCTAATCATAACAAAGGCGAAGCAGGAGATATGTAGACAGAAGTAGGAACCTTCGTATCACCGCCCAAACTCGACGAAGCAAGCAACAGCTCAGCCTCGTCAGCAAGAAAAGCCGGGTTACTCTCAAACCGCGGATCAAGCCACAGCGCATTCGGGTCCTTATCCGCAATCATCTTCTTAATAGTCTTCGGCTTCTTATGGCCTCCCGCATAAAATATAACAGCGCGTATAGCACCAAAGACGGAGACGAGCGAATACAGTTGTTTATAGAGGGGATATGTCATAGCCGCCCAAAATCGCGGCTGGAGATCAGGCCGGTGGCGCGCGTTGAAGTACTTGAATGCGAGAATGGGGAGAGTAGCAGCCATCATGAGGGGAAGGCCCAGGCGCCAGAAGTTCGTGTTGGGTCCCATTGTGACGAATACGGGTACACGGACCCAGTCGACGACGATGGTGGCGATGGAGTAGAGGTGAATGAACTTTTGGGTGAATATGCCCCAGGGTGTTGTTTGGCCATTGAGTGAGAGCAGCATGCGGTCGGCAAAGGCGATGAGACGGCCATGTCGACCCATTTCCCATGAGCGATAGCGTTGGTTCCACCAGTTGAGACCAGGACCGAGAACAGTGGTAGGTACTTCAGTCTCAAGCACGCATGTCGCATCGAATGCGATACGTTTCTTCATGTGCTGCATCGAGAGACCGGTATTGACGTCTTCGGCGATGAAGTCTATCGAGTGGTAGTTGCTGATGAGATCGATCAAGGTTTCTCGTTCACAGAACCATCCTGCACCGTGTGGATATAGCACACCGCATATAGAAGACTCGGCAAGCTTGGTGAGACCAGACATTTTGTATTCGCAGTCCTGCCATGCTACGAGACACATTGGTACATCTCCGTTTGCATCGACTGCCTTGAGTGGGAATGCGCAGCCTTTGGTGACGTCGTCCATCTTGTCGATTGGAGCACGGAAGTTGGCTGGGATGGATACGTCGTCGTCAACGGTCATAATCCAGTCGTGGTCTTTAGCAGCCATTGCTCCGACGAGTTGTGCCGCGTTTTTGCTCCCAATAGGGGACCAAATGTAGTTTATGTTTGGGTGTTCACTTCGAATAAACTTGCGGAACTCGGGCGACGGAGGGTGTCTTGAACGACCATTGTCAACGACAAATATGTCTTGTGGCCGAAAGTGGACAAAGGCACTTTTAAGGACTTTGCTTGTAGCTTCGTGGTCGCTGTTGTGGCATGGAATGACCAATGCTGTGCGGTTGTTTGATGTAACCTCTACGGTGCTGGCCACTTTCTCGATGTCGATTTTGACGTTTGAGGCAGCCGTCTCAACAGATGGGCTGGTGGTCGGATCGAGGGGTGGGACGCGCGCGACGAGAAGAATGACCGTGATCATGATTGGTTCAAGGCCAAGGGCGATGATAAGAACCGGCAACATGTTATTCCTAGTGATTTCTATTGACTTCTTGAGCCAACCGAAATAGTGATCGGAGATAGCAATGCCGGCAGCCAGTGCAGCCACCAGGGAGAGTACAATGTACTTCTTCCAGGTGAATGGCCAAAACACCTCCCGTATATCGATCATCTGCCAAATCGTCATAGGATGGACATGGTTGAAGACTTTCTGTCTGGTATCGGAGAGTAAACGAAGTACTACTCCTGTTCGATCTCGATTTGAGGCGCCTTGTCGAAGGGGTAGCGACTCGCTGCTTGAAAAAGCCGAGCTCGTTGCTGAGGAACAAGGCGTACCAAATGGGTACTGTGAAGGTTGTTCATTGAAGCTTCTTAGAGAATTCGAAGAGTCATATGAGAAAAATGCAGGTCTTGGTGGTGATAATTCTTCGTGTGCAGGGATGAGATTTCCTAATGAATGTGTTTCAGGACGTGCATTTCGACTGGATGTGTCAAAATCGAATGCCGGAGCTGGACGAATCGGCGATATTTTGTCCATGTCTTCTCTATGTATGAAAGATATTCCAGCCATTTTGCAGCCAAAAAAAGAGATATAATATTAGAAGAGAGAAGTGATAGCAGGAGCGAGCGTAGTACTGTGCATGAGGGTACATGAGTACAGTCTCTCGTACTTTTGAAGACTGCAGGCTTCTTTTCCCTCGATTTAGAACACGATTCCAAAATATCGAATTTGAATTGCCATACTAGCACGTCAGTAACTCGAGATTTGTCGAACTCAGCTTCAAGCCACAAGTCATGCTCTAGATTTTAGCAGACTCCAATACGAAGTTCCAGTGCCACTCGATACATTCTTTCCGAGAACTCGGGTCCCGTTTTAGTCTCGTCTTCTTCAGGTGTGATTACCACTGCTTAGCTCGATGTCTTTCACGGCTTGCTGTCGTAGATCGGCACAGCTAGCCGTAGGCGATACGATGGCTGTGTAGTCTAGATATCCACCGATTCTCTCAATTACTGAATGCAATTTTTGTTTGCACCAATGCAGTAAAGTACCAGTTACCTAACGCCACGTTCCTTAACGATTTGCTGCTTTTGCCTTCTCGGAATAGCCGAAAGGAGTACAAATTCCCTACATCTGTGCGGTTCCTCGCCCGCATCACTCATCTGGCTTACAGTTGGGCACCAAGTGAGAGGAAAGGCTGAAAAAGTAAAAGCTTGTTCTCTATTTTTGTTGCGTAAGCGGAACCTCCACGTCCCTGGCACATTAATACGTAATTTGGCTTTGCTATGGGGGCTGATCTGCAGTGTAACCTGTTTCGTAAGACGTTTAGGGTGACAAAACATGTGTACACTGCAACTTCTAACCACTTCATGTGCCGAGATCCAGGTGTCTCAAATGCCGTAAGAAAATTTTACCCCCCAAACTCAGACTTCAATTAATGAGTTAGTGAGCATCAAGCTGGATTGCTCCAATTTTCACCACGCACGAGCGATGAGATGGCTCCATAGGATTTGAAATAGTTTTGCAAAGACAGCACGAAAGCTTCTCTGCGGTTTACACTCCTGCAAGTACGAGAGGTTTGATCTGTGACAGGCTATACCACGCATAGAAAGGCATACAATGATGTAGTGGCGGCACACTATGCTCGCGCCAACTCAACAATCACCTTTTCCGCCACAGATCTAGACCGTCTATCGAAATCTCTCAGCTGGACTGGCGCCTCAATTAGGCAATTTGTGATCTGAAAAAATAACTCGACACTTCCCGAGCGGATGTGACATCTGGTACTCATATGTTGAAGGCAGACAGGCTAACCGATGCGCAAGCCATTGCAGAGAAACTGTATGTTCAAGCTGAAACTAGTTGATTTTCGACAGGTTCAACAAGCCATGTAAGAATTGGATGCATCGAGAGTATCGACAGAGGTTGACGAGGTTGTGAATACTTAAAGCAAGCAAGATTCTGCACTCAGGGTCAGCAGCTCGCATGTTCCCAGACTTCGAAATGTCTTACTTTGAGACACGCTCTTCTGCTTCTTCTGAAAAATCCACACCATGCTCACCGGCATTTAGTATCTCTTCAGTGCACAGCACTCCCATCTCTGAGATCGACGAATTTCAGTATACCGGCTTGATAGCAGCTAGTCTTCGTCGATCAAGACATGTGCTAGTTATTGGCGGGCTTGGTTATATCGGCAGTCATACATCGTTGGAACTTCTTCGAGCAGGTTTCAGTGTTGTGATTGTAGACAATCTCGACAACTCATACACGACGACACTGGACCGGATCAAAACACTAAGAGACGACTACTACTCAGCCAGCCTGTTGAGCCCCTCTCTTATGTTCCACGAAGCCGACTATCGGGATGTGGACGCCATGTCTGCTATTCTTCGTCAGTATGGGGCTGGATCACCCAGCTCGGCAATTGAAGGCGTCATCCACTTCGCTGCGTACAAGGCTGTACCCGAAAGCATTCAACAGCCACTTAGGTATTATTCCAACAATGTGTCTGGGATGGTCACCTTCTGTACGCTATTGGACAGTCTTGACATCAAAACGCTGATCTTTTCATCGTCAGCGGCCGTTTATGGAGAAGTGACATCCGAAACTGGACTGCGCATTAGCGAGAATCATTGTGTCCATGAAACTCGTGAATGGACCCGGACGGACGGGAAGACTCAAGTCACACACGGTGGCTGTACAGCAATCTCCAATCCCTATGGCCGGACCAAATGGATGTGCGAAGCTATTTTGAACGACTTGGCGATATCTGATCCATCGTGGCGTATTGTGGCTTTGCGATACTTCAACCCAATTGGCTGCGATACGTCCGGGAAGCTAGGGGAGGACCCGAAGACGGAACCGAGCAACCTCATGCCTAGCTTACTGCGGGCCATGGATGGCCGGATGCCACACCTCAGGATATTTGGCACGGATTGGGATACCAGAGACGGGACTGCGATGCGAGATTTCATTCATGTCAGCGATCTGGCATTGGGCCACGTTGCAGCCCTCAAAGCGGTCAGTAAGTCGCGGCTGCGATGCGGGTCGCTCAATACGTTCAACCTGGGCACGGGAGACGGCAATTCGGTCAAGGAGATTGTGTCAGCTATGCAAACATGTTCGGGAAGGGCTGTCCCCACAGTGGAGGTAGAGCGACGCGCTGGTGATGTGGGGGTTGTTGTGGCGGACCCCACGAGGGCAGCTGAAGAACTTCAGTGGAAGACGGAACGGTCGATCGATGATTGTTGCAGGGATCTCTGCAGATTTCTCCAACTTGACGATTGCGGAGTAAAGCCACAGTGTGGTTGATATTCTGGGTTTGGAGCGATTCGTTGCTAATGGATATTGGGGAAGAAACTAAAACATAGTGCCTTGTTTCAAACTTCTTGCCAAGGCGGCATTTGTATGCCGAGCGTGAATGTCATTGGCTTTCCTTGATGCAGCGCTACCACCATGCCGCCAGCTCCTCTGGTACCATTTCTTCCTCCGCTGTCGTAATGAATTATGAAAGATCTAGAAACACCACACTGCTGTGCCGCTGTCCAACCAATAGAAACCTCCAGGGTCGAGTCCGAGTGTTTAAGCGCCTTGCTTACTTTCGATACTGATGCCAGGGAGCTACCCAAGTAACACCAGATGCATTGGGTTAGCGACAGAATTTGTAGCTCATCTCCATTCTGAGCCCTTCTAGCTGCTAAAAGCTGGAAATTACATCCATGCAGTGGCCCCGATTCCCAAAACTTCAAACCAAACTTTCGCCATGCTTACCACAGCCACACTTCTGTTGGTCCTCGCCATACCTGGTTTCCTCTCGAACGTGGCTGCAGAAGATTGTACTGTATTTTCCACCAATGGCTCCACTGCAGCGATGTACGACTTCTATCGGTTTTACGACTTTCGTAACTTGAGTGAGAGCCTCATTGGCAATGTGGATACAGTATCCGACAGTGGCGAAAAGCAATCGATAACAGTAGCATCCCATGGGCAATCAAATATCATTGCTGCTTCCCCCTGGAGCGCTGGCTGGGATGTTCGACATTGGTTGAGGCCGGCAGCAAGAGAAGACACTATTGACATGCACTACACACCATCCAGTGTATCAATAAGTAGGTTATAGAACATGGGGGTCTTGTTTATATTAACGAGTGACAGGCAAGAACAATGATGGATCGAAAGAGTCTTCTACCTACCTTACTCTTCACACGACACGGCTGCACAACGGTACGCAATTAGCATCTGAGTTGGACTTTATCGAGCACAATGCCACATATGCATCGATCCGTATGTCGGCGCGCATACGTGGTGCAAGTGGTGCAATTGCCGGCTTCTTTACGTACCACAACGACACCGCCGAGTCGGACATAGAAATTCCAACCGGAGGCACTAGCAATGAAATACATTACTCGAATCAACCGACCACAGATCCTGATACAGCAGCACCAATACAAGACGCAACATTCAACGTCTCTACGAAAGATTCTCAACCTACTTCTATCTGGAACAACTATCGGTTAGACTGGATACGCGGGAGAAGCGCATGGTACGTCAATGGTAAACAGACTGCTGAGACTCGTGTGAATGTACCAGATGCAGAAAGTACGATCATACTGAACCTTTGGAGCAATGGCGGAAACTTCTCTGGACGAATGGATATTGGGAATGAAGCTTGGTTCGATATTCAGTGGGTTGAGCTATTGTTTAATACCACTACCACTACTGTGGATAAAACCAGCAGAACCGTATGCTCTGTGGAGTCTTCTCTAGGATCTCCCGTCCCGAGCGTTTCTTATTCTATACATGAGGGGGCTTCAGAACACCTTTGGTGGGCTGTGGGGCTGATATCGATGGTGGCTTTGATACAGTCTACGTGATTTATGGAGACGCTGGTAGTCAATCCATTTGGAGCTCCGTTTCAGAGATACAGAAAATCAAGCTGTTCAACACCAAGGAGGACGACATAAATATTTGATAGAAGGTCGCTATCAGCGAAGTTGCCCCGCAAACGCCATCGGAATGCGATAGTACTGAACAAATAGGTGCTGAAGAAGAGCTTCATTGTGGATATTACGAACAAACAATGAACTCTGGACTTCACCTGTTGGCCGATGTAGCGGATTTCAGGTGGTTTGATTTCTTGAACGGATGGCTTTTACAGCATTCCTACATAAGTTATCACTTGATTTCTGTAACACCCATGAGTGCTCAACCGACTCTTCTCTCTCAGTATCGTGAGTAACTGATATTACTGAATTAATCCCGAGGAGTATGGCAAAGCCTGTTCTTGCTTCGAATTCCATTCCCTTGTGATTGGTGGACCATGACCCCTTCCTATCGGCCTAGTGCCTTGGCACTATGCGTGAAGACGAGGTAGCCTTGCGGTGTTTTCACAACAAACAACCTTTCCCAAACTCTAAAAGAACACAGGTTATATCTTTAAAGTCATATCAGCGATTAGATACCCTCACATACCTCACACACCTCACACAGCTTGAGCTTCGGCGGTGCATTATTCGTGGCCGGTCAGCCTTGTGCGCTTTCTTGACCTCCCTCGATGGCGGAGACGTTGCAACCGTATGTTTTAGCAGCAGTTAAAAGGTACTCAACTTCTATCGAACCTATAGCATCCTCAGCTAACATACAAATAGATGTCTGGATTCAGGTGAATATTCGGATCTCACCATCACATGCGGAAGTGATGTACACAAGGTGCATAAGATGATAGTTTGCACTCAGTCCGACTTCCTTGCAGCCGCTATCCGGTTCGGGGGTAAAGTAAGTCGTTTTGAGCATTTCCTAAGCTTTACTAACATGTGCAGGAATCTAAGCAGGCAAATATCAACCTCCCTGACGACGAGCCGGCAATCGTGAAGTTGGCAGTGCACTACATTTACACCGGCGATTACATATGTGACTCGCAAGAGCCGATCAATCTTTCGAGTCCTCTTACTTCTGGTGAAAAGCCATCCCGCAATGAAGAGGGTGAATCCTACACGTATGACTTTCCACACTCGTGTAGCGATAGGGGACGGAGAAAACAGTGTCTTCCGCTCTGTCCTCATCACCAGTGCGGAGCTGGTTACTGCGATAATGAATGCTTTGACTTTTTATGCCGTTCCTGCGAGGATGGGGATTACAATGCTCGCAGTAATCCCAAACATCTAGCCGAAGATCTCCTTGTTCATACAAAGGCGTATGAGATAGCCGATAAGTATAACATCGCAGGCTTGAAGGAACTCTCGAAAGCGAAATTCAAGAAAGGGTGTGAGAAATATTGGTATACCAATCCATTCAGAGTTGCTGCAAAGTACGCATTCTCTACAACTTTGGAGGAAGACAAAGGACTGAGAGATATTGTCATCGACACCGTCGCTCAGCACACAATACTCATACGCGAGCCACAAATTCAAGTGCTTATGAAAGAGTTCGGCGATCTGGCTCTTGGTGTCCTGTTGAAGAAGGCGGATCAGTATTTCTGGGGTTGATAAGGAAAAGGAGAATATGGCCACTCTGCTCAGAGAGTTAGGATGTCACTACAACATCCACCATCTGCCAATAGGAACGCTACAGGAATCACGGTGGATACGAACACGTAAGACCACTCGGCTCTTGTCTATGTCCGAATTCCCCGTGTAATCTCACCATCAAGCAAAGCTTAAACTTCAACCTGCCTGAGTATAGCGTCTTGGCGTAAGCCTTAATAGATACCTCACACAATCAGAACAATCAACTTTGTTTTTGTATATTCCGTTTGACATTTCTCAATTTCTTGCAACTACACTAGACGTTATTCTCAAGCATCCATATGGCGTCGGAGGCCGAAACCCAGATTCTGGGCTCAATCAAAAGGTACATAGTACATCCATCCAACCTCTCTCCCAGCACACCAGTAGCCAACGGAACCTAACCAATCATAACAGCTCCCTAACCTCAGGCCTCTCCTCCGACCTCACCATAACCTGCGGCCCCGACTCCCACGCCGTCCACCAGCAAATCATCTGCCCACGCGCCGAATTCTTCGCCCGAGCCCTAAAATTCGGCGGTCAAGTCTGTACAATACCCCCCCCCCCCCATCCAATCTCAATTCAACCCTAATCACGTAAAAAAAACCTCCACACATGACAAAACTAACCCAGGCTTAAAAGGAAACCTCAACAAGCGAAATCAACCTCCCAGAAGATGACCCAGCGATAATAAAACTCCTACTTCAGTACCTCTACGAAGGCGACTACCACCTCCCTTCTTCCCCTTCTTCTCCTTCTCCACCCGTCCTCACAACACGGACAAAAAAAAGACCAACTCACACTCCCGCCGGCCTCCCTTACACCTACGACTTCCCCCACACCTGCCATCCCCCCCTGACCCCCCACACCCTCTGTCCCCACCACACCTGCACTTACACCCGTTCCTCCTCCCAACCCACCCCTTGCAACTACACCTGCACCTCCTTCACCTGCCCCCTCTGCACCTCCCCTCCACCCGCACCCGCACCTTACGCCGGCAGCCCCGCCGATCTCATCACACACGCCGAACTCTACGCCGTAGCAGACAAATACCAAGTGCCCTCGTTGAAACCTCTCATCGTCAAACGGTTCTCGCACGCGTGCGCAAGGTTCTGGGGCGAGCCCGAGTTTGTGGATGCGGCGAGGTGCGTGTTTCAGAGTACGCCCGAGAGGGATGGCGGGTTGAGGCGGGTCGTGCTGAAGACGTTGTTTGAGCATTTGGGCGTCTTGATTCGGAGCGAGGGGGTGGCGCGGTTGGTGAGGGAGGAGGCGGAGGTCGCGGTTGGGGTGTTGAGGTTGTGTGGAGGGGTAAGTGGGGAAGGGGGAGACGGATGAGGATGAGGATGAGGATGAGGTGGTGGGGTGTGAGTGTGTAGATGTAGGTACGCCGGGGAGGTTGGAAAAAAAGGGGGGGGGGAGGGGGGTTGTCAGGAAAGATACCGTTGTCGACGTAGATGGTGGGGAGAAGTAGGGTGGAGAATGAGGACATGGATTAGTGGTGTTTTGGAATCAAAAGGTAGATTTGTTTTTCAATGCAGAAGAGGAGGAAGAGGAGGAAGAAGAAGAAGAAGAAGAAGAAGCGAAGCCGCTAATTACAGCGCTTTTATATCATACAAGACATGTAGAGTAGAACAAAGTCAATTACTTATTTTCCTCGCGAGATACCAAAGTTAGACCACCCGAACAGTTGGATTATCGACAAACACCGACATCCCCTTTTGGCACACACACACACACACACATCTACGCTACTTTAATTTGACAAACACGAATATAGAGAGAAAAGATTCCGAGTAGAGATAAAAAAAACCGCAAGTGCAAAATCAACCAAGTCATGCAGAATATCGATGTCACACAATTAATCCATGTATGCATGTAAAAGAAAATCACGCCCTCACTTTGTTCAAGCCGGTGTTTTTTTCTTCTCTAGTTTGGTAGGTTAGACTTGTTCGAAAAGAGGATTGAGCCGTCAAGTTTTCCCAATGTTCACGACGTGGCAGAAAGGAAATGAAAGAAAAAAGGGCTGTAGGAAGGAGCAAGTTTGAGCAAGAGTAAAGAAGAAGAATATTTTCATAAACCCGCCATGAAAATGCATTTTGACAAAACAACTTTATCCCACCCTCGTATTCCCATAAATCACCACCTCCCTCGTCCTCCAACGAGCCAAATTTACGCACTCGCCGTCATATCGAACATCGCACCCCCCCCCCATACCTCCTAGTTCAACCATCTTTTCCTTCATGATGCAACAACCACCATCTACAACCTAACCTCACCACCCTGCCTCTTAATCCCAAACTTGCTGAGGCGAATCCTGGGCACCACGCCAACAAGCACCAGCACACTCGCCGTAATCACCGCCCAATGCTGCATATGCCCCACGTAAATATTATACGTAGTCCACGTCGCCGCGGAAATCGTCGCTAGACCCAGCACAGCAATAAAGTAACCAGACAGCCGATGGTACTTGTAGATGCTCTTGGCATTCTCAACACTACCATACAGTTGCGGCACGTAGTACTGGGTGAAACCGACCAGCGCCTGGAGGTAGACAAGAACGTAAAAAGCGAGGCCGAGACGGGCGTGGGCAGAGGCAAAGTGCTCGTGGCCGGGGCCTTGCTTGTTGATTTCGATGATGATGAGACCCGCGGTTAGGGCGGAGGTGCCGACAACGTGGAAGAGGAAGTGGGCGAGTGTTCCCGCGCGCTTTTGTTCGGGCGTGTGTGTGGGTTGCAGGATGAGGGCTGCTTGGATGGCGAGGAGGAAGCCGGCCTACGGAGATAAGGTATCAATGATACGGTTGTCGCGAGGGGGTTACTAGGGTGGTGTCGGGGTTGCTTACAGAGTTGAGAAGCTGTTTGGCGGGCGGGGCGGTTAGCTGGTTTGCTGGGGAAAAGACGTTGTGTGTTTAGGGCTGCTTACCGGATGCGCGGAGAAGAAGATGAGCTTGTTGGAGAAGATGGCTCCCCAGACTATAGCGGCGAGAATCCAGATGCCGGCTTGGGCGATGGGAGCAGTACCTGTGTGTTTGGTTAACAGCTGTCGCCCCTCGCAAACCTTGCCAGTAGCTTCACATACCAATCCACAGGTTGTGATACAGCGGCTGGCCCTGCATCTGACTTGCATCGCCTCTTCTGCCGAGAAGCGGCTCTTCTTCGCTCTGGCCACGCGCAGCAGCCGAATTAGGCGGGATTCCGGTGGCAGAAGCCATTTTTGAAGCGCGTAGAATGAAGAACAGTATCACTGTAATCCTAGCGTACGACAGCGGAAGAGAAGAGAGGAAGAATCAGTGTCAGCGCGCGACGGGAACCTGAGGGAAGCGTCGGACTTTAGAGCATCTTAGCACCTCATGCTGAACAATGACGACACCAGCACCCCTGCACAAATCCACCAATCAACGTAGTTTGGCTGTAAGGTAGCCGGCCGCCGCAGCCAATAGGGGCAAAGATGACAGCCTGCAGCACAAGTGGTGATGTTTGCATCGCTGGTTTGGGGCGAGGACGAGGCCATGTTTGCATATCGCATGCCTGTCTAGCCTGTCACATAATGGTCGCGTGAAACTGATGCATGCATACACATACATACCCACTAGCATGCATTCCCCAGTCCGCCCAATCGGCGCCACAAAGCTCAACGTGCTGAAAAAATATCAAGTTGGTATTGTCAATTCCTAAGTATACATCTTTTCCCTTCCCCGCCCATGTCTCTGCATCCTATATTGTACAAGTGTGCGCCCTCTGCGTAGCGTGGCATTGTATCGTAAGTGTCTCGCCCGCATCTCAATCCCATTATGCCAATACTAGGGAATCACTCTCCACGTCCGTCCATCTTTCCAAATATCCATACGCCGTCAAATGCCCATTGCATTCATATCGAAAAAAAATATACGTTCCTTCCATCCCATTCCAACGCAACGGAATACATCTTGACGCGGAAAAAATGCAAGGGTAATAAGCGTCTAATGCACCCATAACAAAAAGTCGTCAATGATTCTTGCAAGCCTGCCAGAACCATCTACTTTGTCTCCAATTGCGCCGTTCGCTTATGCTAGTAGGAGCAGTGCTGAGGTCCATGCCCCAATAGTGTATGTGTGTGAGTTTGTGTGCGTCGAAATTAAAAAAAAAAAAGTTAAAAAGTAGTTGCTCTCACTTCTTCTTCATAAGAGCTGGTGGTTTCGAAGGGTCCGCTGGGTCCAAGAACTTGGTCATAGCAATAGAAAGCTCCTTGAACTCGACTGGTTTCGTCACATACGAGTTGAACCCCGCTTCCGCGCACTTTGCGTACACATCCCCGAGGACGTTTGCCGATAGCGCGATAATTGGGTGCCGGCGGTACCCATGTTTCTTCTCCCAACGTCGGATTTCTTTGCAAGCCTGGTAGCCGTCTTTGTTGGGCATATGCAGGTCACACTGGAAGCTCGTTAGCACGGCTCACGCTCATGGCATGCGTATCTACTTACAAGAACAATCGAGTAATAACCCGGCGGCTTGGAGAAGATGGCTTCTGTCGCCTGAACGCCGTCGAGAACAGTTTCGGTTGCAATGTCGATTCTAGCCAAGAATTTCAGGATGACCTACATCAGTTAGTACCAGTCAACACGAGATACTGTTCACGTCTACTCACAGTCTGGTTGATCTTGTTGTCCTCAACCAACAACACTTTGTGGTTCTTGCCGCCAACCCTTCGTTTGAGCTCTTCAAACACAAGCTTCTGGCTAACAACAACCTGCTGCGCGCTGTCCTGGTTTCGATCGGTACTTGACTCGCGTTGCTTCTGTGGATCGAATATAATTGCAAATTTCGATGGCTTAAGAGGCCGATACACAAATTCCAGGCGGCGGTCATTGTGGAGTTGTTCATAATCATACACTGGCGCCTCCTTCATAAGTTCCTTCTTCTGCGAAGGATCAGACACTATGACAACCGATGTGTTGCTGTAGGCCGTCGAGCTAAAGATCTGATCAACAATGGCATGCACTTCGGCAGTGTCATGCAACACAAGCACAACGTGGGTGAACAAGACAGGGTTCTCGCCACCCATCATCTTCTGAGCACCAATGATACTCGCCTGTCCAGTGACTTGGTGAGGGATTCCTTGAGGTAGCGTGTTCTTAATGTGCCTGATTGTGGCTTCTCTGCTGTGTTCAAGAGGACATACCACCAAAATAGAGTACATGGGAGGCTGTAGGGCACTTCCCAACGGAGAAAGACTGCGGTGTGGTGAACCTTGACGTACAGTCTCATCCGAGTCAACAGAAGTGCTCGATTCGTCTGGTCGAGTTTCTTGGTCGCTGTTACTTCGCTTTGGGGGCAAGGCCAGGTTCATGTTCGCACTCGAGGCTGTACTAGTTTCGTGCATGTAGGACGACGCTGATGACCTTTCTGACCGCAGGCTCGACTGCCCAGTTAGTGCAGAGCTTGTCAAAGAATGCTCTGAACTTCCAGAAGAGAGCGCAGGAGAGTCTCGTGAGCGTTCAGAGGTGGTCACGCTAGGCACGGGCGACTTGGCCGTCTCACTCTTCTCCGACGACACGCTTGAGACGCGCTTCAGAGGCACATGACCAGGATTTTGCGATTGCACAAACTTCTGTAGAGCTGATGGCTGCAGCTGCTGCAAGTTGGCTGGTGGGGGGGCGATCGGTGGCTCGAAGGCGGGCGTTCCTGGCGTTGATACCAGCGGCTTTGGATAGTCGTCTGCAGTAGGAAGGCCAAACTTGATCGTGAAAAAGAAGGTTGAACCCTTGCCTGGCGCGCTTCGAGCATCCATTCTGCCACCATGGAGTTCGACAAATTGCATAGAAATAGCCAGTCCGAGTCCAGTGCCGCCATGTTGTCTTGTACTGCTCGCGTCAATCTGACTGAATCGCTTGAACAGATACTTGGCCTCGGCGTCTGTGAAGCCTTGGCCAGTGTCCACCACTTCAAATCGGATCATCGTCTCATTTTCCTTTAGTGGCCGAGATCGATCGGATGGCTGCAGTTTGCATCGTATGAAAATCTCTCCGTGCTCAGTAAATTTGATCGCATTCCCAACCACATTAAGGAGGACCTGCCTAATGCGGAACTTGTCACCCTTGACTTCTGCTGGCACCCCTTCATCTACCAGGTAATTGAGCTCAAGGCCTTTCTGAATGGCAAGACCCATGTTAAGGTCGTTGACTTCCTCAAGCAGAGACGGCAGATGAAGCCATTCCATAGAGAGCTTGATCATTCCAGCTTCGACCTTGGACAGATCGAGAATATCGTTGATGAGATTGAGCAAACTGTCGGTACTGGCTTTGATAATGTTGACGTGCTCCAGTTGCTCAGTGTTGAGAACGCTATCCAGAAGGAAGTTGACCATTCCTGAAATACCGTTAAGTGGCGTTCGGATCTCATGCGACATGTTGCTCAAGAACTTGGATTTTGCGTCCATGGTCTCCTTGAGTGTTTGCTCGAGCAGCTTGTGGTCGTTGATGTCTGTTGCTGTTCCATACCAAGTCTCCTCGTCACTGGTTTCTGCAAGCGATTTCTCCAGTAAGATTCTCACAAGGTGCCACCTGTAATCACCATCCTTGTTGCGAAGTCTGACCTCGGTCGAGTAAGATGCCCGC